CTTTTATATATTTTTTTGATTAATATAATTATATATAAAAATTTTATTTTTAATAATATTTAATTTTATATATAAAATATTTAAATAATAAATATATATATTTTTTTATTTTATTTTTTATATTAATTTTTTTATTTTTAAAATTTTAAATTAGATTTATTTTTATGTTTTAAATTATATTGATTCTTTAATTTTATATATATATATTAAATATTGTATATATATATACATATTTAATTATATTTTTATTTATATTTTTTTAATTTCATTTTTACTAATTTTATAAATAATTTTTTTTTTTATATTATTATCATTATATTATATTTTTATCTAAAATTATATTTTCATTAAATTATAAAAGTTAATTTGACTATTAATATAATTTCTTTAATATTTATTATGATAATTAATTATATAAAAACCAATTTTATTTATATATATATATTTATATAAAAAATACTGAAAATTCATCTAAATACAATAATATTTAACATTAAAAAAATATATTAATAAAAAAAAATAAACTAAAATGAAAGAATAGAATATAATAGAAATATTTTATAAAAATTAAAAAATGAAAAAAATTTAATATATAAAATATGATAAATATAAAAATATATATAAAAAAATATATATATATATATATATAAATATATATATATATATTTATTTATAAAATAAAATAAAATAAAATTATTATTTAATATAAATAATGAATAATCAATTATTTTTATCAAAAACTGAAAAAGCATATTATACTAAAGTATATTTAAAACTTGAATCTTAAAATATGCTAAATTAATATTATATATAATAATTTTTATCTAAAAGAGCAAATTTATAATTACAAAATACTTAGTTATTAATAAATTAATTTTACAAAAATAACTTAGACGATTAAAATATCGACTAAATGAATTTTTTTATATTAATGAAATTTATTTCTCATATTTAATATAATAATGGTTTCCCGAACGATAACATATTTTTAATTTAAAAAGAATTACCAATCCCTAATTTAGGAAAATCATCTTCTTAAAAAAAATAATAGAATATTGAAGAAGAGGAGTAAAAATAGCTTTAAATCATCGAAGAATAATAAAATTTTAACTAATAAAATATCGTTAAATTATAAAATAAATAAGAAAGCATAGAAAACATATAAAAATAAATAGAAAATTCATAAAAATAAACTGAAATTTTTTAAAAAAATTCATAAAATGATTAAAATATATAAAAAAGCATAAAAAATTAAGAAAATAATCATTAAAAATAATAAGAAAATAACTAAAATATAAAAAACATAATAGAAAATAATAAATATATATATGAAAATAATAAAAACATATAAGAAAATAACTAAAATAATAAAATAATATAAGAAAATGCTTAAAATAATAATATATAAGAAAATAACTAAAATATAATAGAAAATAATTAATAATAAAATACACTAAATGGTCGTTTATTAACTTTTGGTATTCCTTTAAAATAATAAATAATAGAAAATATAATCATATAATAATAAAATCCTCCCTTTTTTTAAAATAATAATAATAAAGATGCAAATAAAAATGAATATGAGTCTTTTATGTAACATTTAGATGAAAACAATGTTCCTTAAAAGGAAAAACATGATTTAAAATTAGCTTTGGAAATATTTAAAAGTACTCATGAAAAAACTAAAATTTGAGCTTTTTATAGATTCCTTAAAATTCTATCAAAATATAAAATTATAGAGAAGTATAGGAATATATGAAAAGTCATATACTTTATACTATTGAAAGTACTATTTAGGGACAAAAATATATAGTGGAAAGAAGGTTTAATCATTTTAAAATTTTACATGATTATTTCTCAACAAATCAATCTTTTTAAGGTATACTTATTCCTTAATTACCTTCCAAAAATTTCACAAAGATAGGGGCATTTCTAGGCTCTTAGTATTTAGACTAGGAAACTATAAATTAAAGAAGAATGGACTTAGAGAACTATATAAATATGTACTTAGAAAATGAATATTTATATTAAGATGCGTATTTTAGGCAGTTTTTGGTAGAAGAGAAGTTCGATTTACCTTCCGAATAGCTTAAAAAGAATGGGTATAAATAGTGGATCTAGAACATATACTCGAGTCTAAAAGAATAAGGATTTTAGGAACTAAAAGATTACACTGAGGCAGTTTTGAAAGTGAAAATTCAGGAGTGTTTATTCAATAATTCTGAGGATATTGAGAGTTAAATAATTGACTAAAAGATAAAGGAAATAGAAAAAATGGGAATCTAGATTCGATAGAGTATTTATTTTTTAGAACGAGAAATATAAACTGGAAGTGATGAAATTTAATAAATAGAAATTTTTGAGGAGAATTTTTTTTCATAATAAGAAAATCCATATATAAATGGTTTTGGAGAGATTTTTAATATAAAAAAAAATAAAGCGTAATTAAAAATAGAGCTTTTTTAAAAAAACCTATAATAATTCAGAAAACTGTATAATTTAGTGTAGGCTGCTAAAGTGGCATAGGATTTATTCAAAACGAAAATTCAGGAAAGAATACTATTAAAATAAATAAAGGAAAATAAATAAAACAAAGTATATGAATAAACTAATAATAATAATGATGTTTAAGTAGCTAAATTAGAAGTGGATAAGATAAATTAAAAAATTAGATAATAGGAAGAGGTTATAAAAATCATTAAAGATAGATTGTAAAAGGAATTAAATCATTTTATTAAAATATAAAATTAAAATATAAAGGAAGCTTATGATTTGTTAATAATAAATTAAATAAAAGTATTAGAAGGTGTTTAATGAAAAATTAAAAAATATATATAAATATATTTATAAATATATATAAATATGTATAAATATATATATATATATAAATAAATATAAAAAAATATATTCATATATATATATATATATTAATATTTATATATATCATATCCTTTCATATTTACATATACATGTATTATTTTATGAATATATTATATTTAAATATATAATTTTTATCTTTACAAAATTCAAAAATAATTTAAATTTCTTTTTTTTAAATATTAATAATAAGATTATCAAAGTAATTTTTAAATAATATAAAATAAATATAATTTCATACATAAATAGATATATATTTTATAAATATTTAAATTAATATATATATATATATATATAATATATATGTGATGTTATATATAATTATTTATATATATATATATATATTTATTATTATATTACATTTTTCTTTTATTTAATTTTCAAAGTATATTTTACTACATTTTTTTTTCTTCTGTTATTAAATTATTTTTAAATATGTAAATATTATATTTTTAAATATA